AACAGATGTTATGCTAACATTAACAATGTTAACCACAGTTTAGAGGGAAATGCAGAAGAGAGAATTAGAACTAGAGAGACAAGGGGGTAAAAAGGGGACGGAGAAGATGAGAGGGAAGAAAGAAAGGAAAAGAAGTTATAAAGGACAGAAGCAAAATATAGAGAAACAGGGCCTATTTAGAGATAATGGGTGAAAACTTAATAGAAAAAGGGATTCTGCAAAGGTACATAAGATAGTATGGTTATATTAGAAGCAGAAATAATTTTAGAAAATATGAAACAATGTATGATTAAAATGTCTGATAAAATAGCTATCGTAATTCAGTGGAATGCTTGTCAATAAATAAATGTAACAAAAGGTATATTTAAGGATTTATAAAACATATGTGAAGAGAAATAAGGGAAAAATTAATTATGGAGATTATATGTGTTTTTAAGGAAGTATGATATTTAATTGAAAAGAAGTGTTAAAGATGTTAATGATTATTAATGATAGAACTGAACTGGAATGGAGTGAGGGTTTATAATTACCTATATTTACAATCTTTCTTTTTTTAAAAAGAATATAGTGTGTATTATAAGAATGTGTCAAGCAGAATTCGATTGGAAGTTATGTACTATGTATTATATTGAAGGTCATAAACTTAAGGTATATATTGAAGTTTAAATAAGAGTTGAATGGATGTAATTAAAAGATATAAAGGTTAGTAACTACAGGAGAAAATTTGTTTAATGAGAAAAGATAATATGAAATTGAAACAGAACAGACAAAAGTATAAATATAATGATTTGAATTGAGATGAGATCATCAAAATAAAATTGAGAAAATTAAAAGAGGGGAAAAACTATATAGAAAATGTAAAATAGTATAAGATATGGAATAGAATACAAAAAGGAGCATGAAATTGAGTTTTGTGTCTGTATAAAGAAGTTTAACCCGGGACCATGCTATTTTCAAAAAAGATGTTTTACTTGTATTTTGTGTGTGAAAATCCAAATAAAACTTTATTAAAAAATAATAATAATGTTAACCACAGTTGGATGTAACAGCTGCCCAAGAGGATGGAGAGAATAGAATAGGATAGGATAGGATAGGATAGGATAGG